AAGTTATGTTTGTGCAGATTAAGGCAGCATTCTTTGTGTACTCAGATCTGACCTAGAACCTTGGAATTGGAAAGTCCTGAGCATCTAACACTCCCAGGAATCAGACTCACAAATCCTTAGTGGCTATGAATTAACCAGACATAGTCTCTTCATTCAGCAAGCTATCATAGCCAAAGAATATTCGAGAACCCTTTGAAGTTCACAAAACAAAACAAAGCATTTCATATGTTAGTTTGTCTTGAGAAATCTTCACAGGAAAATATCATTTGAATAAATGAGATATTGGCAAGGTAAAGCTAAGTGAACGATTGTTTCCACCTTCTCATAGACTAGAACAGGGCAGAAATGACAAGGGCACCTTACCACTACCTCTTTCCTCTGATGGAGACCGGTCATCCACCCTAACCATCCCCCACAGTTGTGCTCTCCAGCTCTCTTTCCTCCCCTAGCCTCTCTCAGAAGTTTCTGAGTTGCTGGTTAAATTTTCTCAGGAGGCATGGGAACTGCTGGCGGCAGCCTGAAGATGTGGCAGGAAAGTGCGGGCACCTCTGAGGGCTGGTTTCTCCACAGTGCTGCGTGGACTATTAGTGGGCACTCGGGAAGGCAGTGACAGGGAAGCTGTTGGGAAGTCTCAGATTATGGAGAAAGTAGAAATTTTGCCAGCTCATTCTGAAATGAGAATTTGGCACACTTTACTTTGAAATTGATTCTCTTAGCTTGAGAGAGAAAAGGAAAATTGATAGATAACACCTATGGGGGTCACAGTTTTCAACCCAAACAAGTATTTTAAGGAGAAGTGACCTAATATTTCCTTTAGATTTTCTTTCAAAACTCAAAAACAGGGCCTCCCCGGTGGCGCAGCGGTTGAGCGCTGGGTTGCGAACCTGCCCGCAGCCTCTGCGGCACCGGTTCGATCCCCGGCTGCTCCCCAGCCACCAGAGGAGGGTCCCACATGGCGCGCAGACCTCTCCTGTGACCTGCTGCTCCCCTCAGCAGTGTACTTCGGTCCTTCTGCCTGCTCTGCTCCCTGCTCTGGCTCTGGTGAATTCTCTCACCCTCCCGCGCTTCTGACTGTACCCAGTGCATGTATAAACAAAACAAGCAAATAAATAAATAAATAAATAAACATGCCTCTATAAAATTAAAAAAAAAAAAAAAACTCAAAAACATCAGAAGATGTGTTTCATCTGAGACAATAATGGTTGGAGGAAGAACTTTTATAGGGTAAATACATGGTGTGGTTCTTTTGTTTGTTTTTCTGATGATATATAGTCAAAATAACAAATGCCTTACAAAGTAAAGTTGAACTTTAGGAAAAGGAGTCTTATTAAATCATCTGACTTGCCAAGTGGAGTTCTCCATACTGCACCTCCCCTTTCTTAAGATCAGTGGGAGGCCTCTGTGCCTCACCGGTCCCGGTGACCCCATATACAACCAGCCCATATCCCCATGCTCAGACTTCAGGCCCGCAGGGTAACCGATAGGTGGATCAGGCTTGGAATCCTGTGTGAATCGCTTTCTTATGTTTTATTGCATTCTTAAAAGAATTTGATTTCTCACAGGAACCATACCATGTATGTTACTGCTTCTGTGTATTTGTGTGCACATGAACTTGATAAAACTGTGAACTTAAAAAATCAACTGAACAGATTTCATGATTTAATTACTTGCACAATTAACATAAGGATAAATAAGTAAAAGTTAGTATTAAAGGAACACACATAATTTAGTGTTTCCTTTGTTTATTGTGGCTCTTTATGTCCTTAACAGCAGAGTCTTTCTTGAGAGGAATGTTAAGTTGAATACCAGGGCATAGGGTGTGTGTGGGTGTGTGTTTCTGACAAATCCAAACATGGTTTTCTGGATCTTAGAGTTCTTTAAATTCTAAAGCTTAGAGATTGCCTGATAAGCCAAATCATGATAGGTTTAAACTGCCCTGTCTTTAGTGGGCTTGTTTTTCCTTCGCTAAGTTTTAGGTCAGAAATCTCCATAATCAGTGGAATTTCAGCTTCCACTCTGATTCTATATGGTTATTCACAGACAGGCCCCCGGTCCCCCAGATGTCCCTTGAATTGTATTTAGTTGCTGATGATGTTTTTTTAATCTCTCTCCAGCATTCATTTCTTGTTCTTAGTTATTTCCATTTCCTTCTATTCTTCTTTCTTTGAAAGTGTTTATTCAGTAAGTAAGTGAACAGCTACTAAATGATGTATTTAAATGGCGGCATTGGGTTGCCCTATGGGTAAATTGAGAATTTTGCGTTGTGTTTGGCAGTCCAAAAATGTGCAGTTTGGTATTTTTCTGGTATTTTTCTTTTTTTTAAGATACTCTGAAAATATCCAGCAAGTTCTTTTCTGTTCCTGGAACCTGTGACTTTAGTACTGTGCTGTGTTTGGGAATATGGGGTACTTGTCAACTGCCATTTGTTGTTTGTTTTTAACTTGTTGTGTGTGTGTGTGTTTTCTCTTTCACTGAGGGAACATTGGTTTACAACACTGTATATGACTTAAGGCACTAGGTTCACACGTCCTCAGATGTATTTACCACCCCCGCCCCATTTCATCTTAATTTAGTAACATTTTCAAATGTCAGGTCCTGTGCTATGAGCTAATAACACAGGCAGAAAAGATTCACCACCTGCAAGGAGTGGACTGTCAAATTCCTGTCCGTTTGTCCCAACTTGGACCCGTTTGTCCTCACCTTCCTTATACCTCCACCATTCAGATTCTACCAGCCCATTAAAAAAAAAAATCGAAGCAACTTCTGCATTCCATTTTGTTCATATATTTGGATCTACAAACTTTTGAAGTCGTTCATGCTTGGAGAATCTTCCATTCATCACCACCCCTATAGGGTATGCCTATAGGCATAAAACAGAGGTCTTTGTGTTGTTTTTGGTTGTGGCACCATATAATTTATAGTCTAGTGCTTTTCTTGGAATGACACACTCTTCCTTCCCCTACCACTGTGGTGGGAAATCATTTAGGAAATTTGAATTGAATCAGAACATAGCGCCAAAATGACCTGCTGAAAATTCCACGCATATACCCTGCAGGAGCTAGATTTTACTTTGAAAGGTGATTGGCATACATTCAAAGCATTGTGTCTATGTTGGCATATAATCAGTAGTGATTATGTTTACTTTCATCACATACTTTTCCTTTCATTTCATACTTTTCATAATGATTATGTTTAAGTCTCTCGAAGGAAAGGTCCATACTATAGATCTATTCTATGCCAATACACAGCACACTGATTTTCTGATAAGTGCAATCATTTCCAACAGGCTTGAGCTCAGAAACACAAATCTTTTCAATATCTATTTTCATTGTTTTCCAAACATTTCCGAATGGAAATGGAGCTTTCCATTTCCATTGTTCATAAGGCCCAGGCACCTTGGTAGCAAGTTACCATCATCTTGCTCTGAGCCTGTGACAACACTGGTGAGCAGTGGCTTGCAGGAACTTGTAAGGGAAGTCACTGAGGCCCTGTCTTCAGCTGTCTGTTTTGGAGAGTGTGTATGTGTGTACGAAGGGTAGGGGTGAGGGATGTGAAAACCTTTGCATGAGTGTGGGAATGTGGGGTCATTACATTTGTGAGAAAACCTTTGCACTGTTTGGGTAGCAAATCTAGAAAATGAGAATTGTCCTTGAAAAATGGGCTTCATTAATACAAGCATCTACTTCAATCAAATTCTTTATTTCATGTTTAAGATTTTTGGACATACATTTTAGTAAATGTTGGACCATTTATAATGGAGAAAAATTGTCAGAACTCTGGAAGTTTCCCCCCTGTGTAGTTTTCCTTCAGTCTGCCAGGCCCTTCCTTTATGTCAGTGATAAAGAATGCAAAGCTGTGCAGTCTCCCCTTTTACTAACCATGTCCAGGATTAGGGAGCCAAACCACTTGTTAAAATTGCATTTTGACAGCATGCTACAGCTTAGGTTTCTATTTACAGCCTCCTGCTACTTGTGTTAGTTCTTAAAACTCTCTTAGCCATTATTCAATGACAGGGTTGTGTACCTGTTTGGGTTCCCCATTGCAAGGAGCAGAAATCAACTCTTGTTAAGTTAGGCAGGAGGGACTTGGTTGGAAAGATATTAGGAGTTCACAAAATTGATAATCAAAAAACTAGGCCTGGACTAGACAAGATACAAGGCGACTCTTGGAGACCCAGGAACCATGAACTCTCTGAAAGTATTTATTTGTAGTAGTTGCTCTCTGGATAGGAAAATGGTGGCAGCAACCATTTGAAAAGCCACAGGGTAAGACACAGCTACTTGACCACATCTGGACAGACACAGGGTGGGACTCCTCCAGGCCTATCCAAGGTCATTCATCAAAGGGAAATTGAGATGAAGTTTTTAGGGGGAAGGTGGACTAAGCAGCCAGAGCAACAAACAGCCACTGCAGGGTAGTGGAGTGGAGTGATCGAAGACCAGTTCTGTTTTTCCTTTGGTAGATGATTAGAAAAATGTGCTCGTGCATTGGCAATGAGGTACGTCTGCCTCCCCTTCCCTGCCCCTACCCCATGACTGGGGCCTTAAGGGGCAGTTCTGTTGTGAGGTTGATTCGTATATAAGTATATGTGTCAGAAGGTGCTGGTGGAGAAAGAGTTATGAGCTGATCAGTTTTGAGAAATTTATTTTTAAGGTCCTTTTTCCTTAACTGCTTCAATGTTTACCCTCTTTGCCCTATGACACAGCTTCCTAGTTAACTAGTGCTATGCATAACTGCCCAATTATCAAGGATTTTTGCATTATAAGTATTTTCATCAAAGCCATACTTGGACCTTTTGGATTCATCATGAAATAAATTCACCTCCCCATCTGACTTCAATTGGTTGTCAGGGTAGATTTATGTATATATGCAGCACACCATTACTGCTCCCCCCCACCAGGTTCGGAGCCATTAGTCTAATGCTAAACAGAAACTTCTGGAGGATTTGAGTGCCACTTGGAGGTGTTGTGGAACGCTGATCAGCGTTGTTTCTCTTGCAGCATCCAGTGCTTGATGAGCCGATCGCTGAGGCTGTCTGTATCATCGCAGACACAGACAAGTGGAGCGTGCAGGTAGCCACAAGCCAGAGGAAGGTGACGGACAACATGAAACTAGGCCAGGATGTCCTGGTCTCCAGCCAGGTGTCCAGTTTACTTCAGTCCATTTTACAGCTTTACAAGCTTCACCTCCCGGCTGATTTTGTAAGTATTTGTTCTCCTGTCACCAAAAACATTCAGTTTAGAAACACCTTTAACACCATTTTGATTATTAAATCACAAACTCAAGTGTCCTGTTTTTAGTATAATTGGATGTTAGCACAAGTAAAAAACAGACAATGCAACATAAGACCAATGAACAGGATAGATTTCAGCAACGCAAAACAACACCAAGTGACACAAATCAAGGTACATGGTAAAATAAAGTAAGTGAGATGTGGGATCAGGCTGCCAGTGTGGTGGCGGAACAGCCATTGTCATGGCCAAAACTCTGGGCTGCTGGAGCAGCCCAGAGTCCCACCCAAGCTGTGCTACTTGTAGCTGTGAGACTGCTAGGTCTCGGGGTCTGTAAAGCTGGGGACATAGCAGAACCTGTGTCACGTGGTTCTGAAAATTCAAGTGAGATAATTCCTGGAAAGCACTTGGAATCATGTTAGATAGGATAAGCACGTTAATAATCATAATGACTTTTTTTTTATTCATTTATTTGTTTGTTTGTTTTTGTTTATACATGCACTGGGTACAGTCAGAAGCGTGGGAGGGTGAGAGAATTCACCAGAGATAGAGCGGGGAGCAGAACAGGCAGAAGGACCGAGGTACACTGCTGAGGGGAGCAGCGGGCGGCAGGAGAGGTCTGCGCGCCATGTGGGACCCTCCTCCGGAGGCCAGGGAGCAGCCGGGGATCGAACCGGCGCCACAGAGGCCGCGGGCAGCTTCGCAACCCAGCGCTCAACCGCTGCGCCACTGGGGAGGCCCTCATAATGACTTTCAATAGTAGTTTCATGAAATAATATATTGCCTGTAAAGACTGACAGCAACTTATCACTAAAAACTTTATTTAGGCCTTTAAATTGAAGCTACTGGCAGGATAGCTGTCCTGGGGGGAAATACAGGACACACTTATGGAATATTATGACCTTATTTTTGTTCACATTTGTAGGCAGTTTTTCTTTCTAGAAGCATGTTGGAACCTGCTGATGAGATTTCTTTTTCTGTAAGGCAAGGAAGATTTCATAATTATTTACTGCTGTGTTATTACGTATATAAGTACTTATTTACCAAACTTTTATAGCTTTTTTTCAATACTATACAGCTGTTACTACATTTGACATCTAAGTTGTCCAAGGAATAAATTATTCCAGCTTATTCTTTCACTTCATTTGGCAGAAGTATATTTAACCACTTTAGGAGTCTGAATGATTTATTTAACCTGACAAAACCAAGATCAAAGAAAATTTCATCTGCAGTTTAAAATTAAAAATTCTTAAAAATTACTTGAATGAAACACATGATTAAATAACTAATAGAGCCTTCAGTGCAGAGGAAGAAGTAGCTATTTAAAATTTCAGAAGCTAAAAATGGGAGAAATCCATCTCAGGAGTAAAGTCTCAGAAATGAGAGGGGGGACCCCAAAACAATCTACTTGGTAATCAGAATTATTCTAAATGCATTGATTTCAAGGGTACAATACACTCCATGTAAGCCAGTGCTCTCTCTATTTATTTATTTTTTAAAGATTTATTTATTTATGCATACAAGAGCTGGGGTACAGGCTAGAGGTGCTGGGGGCAGAGGTGAGAGGATTCACCAGAGACAGAGCAGGGAGCAGAACAGGCAGACTGACTGAAATACACTGCTGAGGGGAGCAGCGGTTGAGGCAGGAGAGGTCTGCCTCACCATGTGGGTTGCTCCTTGGCTGGCCGGGGATCGAACTCGTGCTGCAGAGGCTGTGGATTGCTTCATAGTGCGGTGCTTAACCCCTTGCGCCACCAGGGAGACTGTGCTCTCTTTATTTCCACATCGCAACGTGCAGTTTTCATGGGGACCATGAAAACACTGTAAATTAACTATTTTAAAACATAAAGGAGTCAGTGTAATGTGAATGTCCTTTTCAATATTTTATAACACTCTTATTTAAAAAATTGTATTTATCCCATAAGGAACTGAACACTTACTTAACTGAAGGTCCTTTCACCACTTTATGTACTTGGAACAACATTTTTATGAGAAATGGTAAAAATCCTCCTTGCTTGGGTTGTTACTCATCATCACTTGCCACTTACATTTCATTTACCCAAAACAAGACATTTAAGATTTTTAAGCTATCTCTAATAGATACTTTTTCCATATCACTGAACGGCCCAGATGGTCAAGATCAACATTTTCAACTGCATCTTTTAATCTTTTTACCTTGAAAATAACAGGCATAATGGTCTAGAAGAAAATTATGTGTGATGGAATTACTCTTGCCAAAGCCATCAGGTGTCTTACTGAAGATGCTTGGGTAGCTCTGCCTGCCAAATGCAAAAGCATTTGCCTCTGGTGAAAGACACAGATGGTTGCTATTCTCTAAAAAATGAAGTTGGACTCAATTCCAAGGGTAGAAATGTCCTGAAATAACTGCCTTTTCTTTATTGTTATTAAAGACCTAGTTAAAATATACGTGAGAGCAAAAACCAAAACAAAACAAAACAACTAAAAGAATCTTCTTCTAGTTATTCCTCTTCTGGGAGAATATTACACTAAAATAATCTGAGACATAGGAAAATAGTAATAACAGATATTCCTTACAAGATTATTTATAATAACAAAATGCAAATGTCTATGGGATTGATTAAATAAGGTTAATTTATATTCTCAAAACTTATTTAGCACCAAAAATTACATTGATAGGGAATTTTTAGTAACATGGGGGAAAGGATTTTTTTTTTTTAAGATTTGCTTATTTATGCATACAAGAACTGGGGTACAGGCCAGAGATGCGGGGGCAGTGAGAGGATTCACCAGAGACAGAGTGGGGAACAGAACAGGCAGGCTGACTGAAAAACACTGCTGAGGGGAGCAGTGGGTGAGTCAGGAGAAGTCTGCTGCACCATGTGGGTGTTTCCCTGGCTGGCGATTGAACTCATGCTTCAGTGGCTGCGGGTGGCATCATAGGTTGTGTCTTAACCTCTTGCGTCACCAGGGAGGCCGGGGAAAGGATTATAAAGCTATTTTTTGCTCTACCACCTAAGCTAGCCAGCTGGGTGATTATAAATCTTTTTAGGAACAGAAAATAATTGCACTTATAAGATGATTTCAACTATGCAAAAAGCAAATGCTTTTTTAAAAAAAGACTAAAAGACATATATATGAAAATCTTAATAGTCATTGGAAACAAACTATTGCAAAAATCTGCACTTATATCTACTTGTGGGCAAGATTGATAATGAGTAGTAATTTTGTAAGTGTATTTGAAAGGGATGAAATTATAGTGTACACAGAATCCTGACTCTTAGCATATCAGCAGAGGTTTGAATTCCAGCACTCACCGTGTGTGTTACTGACTTTGCAGTGTGTCATGCATCTTGAAGATAGACTACAGGAGATGTACCTTAAAAGCAAGATGCTGTCTGAATATCTTCGTGGGCACACACGAGTCCATGTGAAAGAATTAGGTGTCGTGCTGGGGTGAGTTCTGTGCCATGTGTTCCCCTGGGAGGGGGCTGCCCCTCGCACTGTACCCACTGAGGCCATGCAGCCCCTGGGGCTCCAGTGGGAGTGTTTGGGGTCCATGAATGTTGCCTCTGCTGCTCCCTAGTCAGCAGCATGTTCTTGGTATCTGATATTAGAGTTTTGTACCCAAAACCAGTGTAGAAATTTGAGTGGTACTTTTTGTTAGTCTTCTCCCTGAAATACTTTATGCTCAAAAGTGAAAAACTGAATCCCACTCACTGCCCATTGCTAGTAATTTCAGAAAGAGGACAAAGTCACAAGTTGTGACACATGCAGCAGCAGTTTACATGTTGCTTCCTGGAGGAGGCAGACAAGGCTGTTCTCCGGGGCTCTCAGGCCCTGCCTGTCGGATAAGCCCATCAGAAGAGAAGACTTGCTTGTGTTACTAACACTGCACGTCGCCTTCCGGGGGTCTGGCCACAAATCCTCTGGGGGAAGAAACTCTGACTTTCGCTTTACTCTCTGCTTCATTTTTCAACAGAGAACTAACCAAAAGACATTGGACATGTGGGAAATTGTCCCTTCTGATGCTGATGTCTCCTCTAATTCTGGTCAAGAAAATACAGTACACATAATTCCAATCTTAAAATTCTTTAACAGGCCTGCTCATCAAAGTATTATTTCTAGACTGAGACCTTTCCATTCTTATCAAACTTTGTATCTTTCACACTCCACATATGACTTACTGTATTGATTGAGTCTTGGCATTTGCTGTTATAATTTTTTTCTTACATACTTCATTATAAAAATATAAGAAACACTGTAAAGTAATGCCAGCTACTTTTTTTTTTAACTTTTAAATTTTTTGGTTTTGGAATTCAAGAGCTGATTAGAAAACATCCCACAGACTGAAGCAGCCCTAGTCTTCATTTGTCTGCATTTAGCCAGTGACCGTGCTGTACCCACCTCTGCTTGAAGACAGCAGCCAAAGCCCATCCATTAGTGTCTCTCGATTCAGTGTCTCTCAGAACACGGGGCTCAAAAGCTTAGTGAGACTCTAGCTATAGAGCCCAGTGAACAAATCCCCCAAGGTGTGTGAAGAAATGACTACCACCATCCTTTTCCTAAGGCTGCTCTGAACCTGGGTGTGGGTCAGGAAGTGGTCAGTACAGGTGCCTGGAGATACTGGAGAACACTGAGGTCTAACATGATGAAGCCAAACAGGGAGTGAGAGACGTACTGGTACTTACACTCCAGGAAGCCTGCACAGGGAAGAGCGGCTTGGTGTCCTCTCGTCCACACAGCGCCCCCGCTGCAGTCGCCATGAGCCCCTTGGGCCGTGATCCCTGCAAGATTGCATTAGAAAAACCATCTTATCTCTCTGTCTCTTTTACTTGTTCTGTAGTTTTAAGGAAAGATCTAGCAAACTTGGTCTTTAGCCATAATACGCCCTATACAATCATGCCGCTTTAAATACTCTTTTCTTCTTTCAACTTTCAGGATTGAATCGAACGACCTGCCTCTGTTGACTGCTATTGCCAGTACTCATTCCCCTTACGTCGCTCAAATACTCTTATAAGCTAAAGCTCAGGACATTTCTTCCTTGGAAGAAAAAACAAATCAGATTCTCAACTGAAGGAGAAGGGAATAAGCTGTCTGACATCAGAAGCATAAGAAGAGCAAACAGAAACAGTCACTCCACTGCTTTGTCTTGTTGCTTTCAAGTGGATCCTTCATTCAAAGACTTGGGGCTACTTGACATAATGGCATTTGTGTTTCTTGCGAACACTTTAGGCCTTTTGTTACCCATGACTCAACAGAGAGTGACCTTTCTGGTAGGAGGAAACATAAGCACTACACTAAACACTAAGCCGCTGGTGCCGGTGGCCTCGGTGGCCTCGTGTGACCGGCAGTGAAGACCTCGGGCGGGGTAGACAGTGCACCGACCCTTCCAGAAGGAAAGCGCTTCTGTCTTGAAGCGTGAGCTCTCTGAACTGGAAAAAGCTTACTGCGCCATTCCGAGAAGACAGTCAGGAGGAGGTCTTTGGATTCCGGGACAGAGTTGGCTTTTTATCCCAGCGAAAGGAAGGTCACCCCCTGTGCCACCTCCAGCTCGGGTGTCTGGAAGTCCCCCGCTGACACAGAACACAAGGAGGACTGACTGCCGGGAAGAGAGTGTTGCAGGGACCCACTGTTGTCACGTCCTGGTGGTGTTTACTGTGTTTCACAGGCGCCGCGGGGAGGTTAGAGATGGGCTGTTGATGCAGTAAACCCAGGGGTCCGTGTAGCATGCCAATCCCGTGGTGAAGTGGGGCGCGGCTGCAGGGGGCACTGCCCGCCGCCGTGCGCTTCCTCTGTAGACTCCAGCTTTCAGCAGCCTTTTTACAAGAGGCCATTTACCAAAGCTATTTCTATAAACTCAAGAGTGTTTCTGTTGCTACATCTTCCAGCCGAAGCCACTTTCTTCCTATAACAGTTAATACAAATGACTATTTATACTTTAAAAGGCACAGCTGTCCTGGTGGGAAGAGAAACCTGCAACAGTTCAGGATGACTAATGAAAGTAATTCATTCGAGCATTTATAAACAATCCATAGATGACCTAAATTTTTACATTATCATCTCTGTGCCTTCTAATCCCTATATCCTTTTCAAAACACCTTTCCGGAAATTAACTTTCTCATAGCTCCGAAATGAAAAAGTATTGATTTATTAGCATAGTTCGCTTTAAAAAAAAAAAACCAAACCTTATTTTTCTGTTAATATAAAGGAAATTTTACTTAGTTTACTGATTGCAAAACAGACTATGTACTGACATCCAAGGTAAAGGAAAAGACTTAAAGATTGATAGTTACAAGACCAGGAGCTAATCTAGTACAGCAAAACATTGCGAGCACCTTGCAGATGTTGTGTGCAGTTCATTATAACCAGGATCTGGCTTCCTTTCCTTGTTTTATGCACTAATTCCAACCCTCCCCATGTGTGTATCTTTTGTATCTAAGAATATGACGCAACTTCCTATTTAGGGATTAGAAAGTCTTCAAATTTTCTATTTGATAAAGTCCTGATCCTGAACACCAAGTTATACAAGTTTGTCTGTTATTCTGTAGCAAATGCAGGTTAATTGCCTGTTTGATAGAGAATAGTACCGGTGGAGAAAAATAGGTCTATTATTTCGTAGGAATAATTAGAAATAGGTCAGAACGGCTGCCTTTCTCTCATTTTTTACAAGCGTGATCTGGAGAGGGGTGCATTGAGACTCTTAAGATCTTTAATTTTTTTTCATGCCTTTCATAAAATTGAAGTTTTCCATTCCTTTTATATTTCTGCTATTTCCATGTGCCTAACATCTGAGTTTGGAGTTTTGAAGTCTAGTCCCATGACATCATGTTGTTGGGTCATCCAGAGAGAATGAACCTGACCTGTGGCTCAGCTCCTTTGTCATTTGTTTTTCATTATATGTGCGGCAATGATAAGAGCTGATGTTACATTGTCACAGCTGCACCAGCTTAAAGCATTCCCTCATCTCCTTCCCCATTCCTTGTTTACACGTTTTGGGCACTTTCCCTCATTCACAACCTTCCGGGGTTTCATAGAAAATAAGTAGATACAAAATCAGTTCCATGCGCATGTGCACATAGTGCATGTTGAAAATTAGACCCAGATATGGGGGAAATTTAGCTTTAAATGGCTGATTCTAAACTCTACACATAAAAGATTTGGCCCAGCACCCTCAAAGCTGAGAAAATTTAATTTGCCTCTTAAGCTACTGTTCCAAAACACTCAGAAAACGTCTATTGGAAAACTACAGGTGGATCTCATGTGGGGGTTGTCTCAGCAATGCTCAGGATTCTAGTCAGAACCTAATCCTCACACTGACGGCCTACACAAACAGACCGAGAATGCTGCTGCTCTTTGATGGTCCTCCTTTAATAACATCCAAGTTGTGTCTGTCTCAAGTTCAACTTCTCCCCAAGAGTAGAAAAGAAAACCATCTCATGGAATCGTGTTGAGGTGCACCCACTCACACACCCGCCACCCGGTGGCTTCATTCTGTTTTAGCTGAAGAGGCTTCCATGTCCACCTCAAGAAAAAAATAAAAATTAAAAAAAAAAAATAGAGAAAACTACCTCAGTTGACAGGATTCCACCTTTAGGGTTTCTTCAACTTTTAAGTCTTACCTGTTGAGTGTAACTTTTGTAGCGTCTTGCTTCTTTCAAGCAAGCTAGTGAGGCATGACAGAGCAGACGTGTGTACATATCGCTGTGGTGGATTCTTTCTAGCATGTCGCGTCTTATTTTTAACAGATTGATGAGTGATATGAATGTAAAGATAACTGTGTACGTTTAAACGTGACAATGAAAATCTGAAATGTAGCTTCCATACTTGTGCATAATTCCAAAGTATTTTATTTTTATCAGTGTTAAATAGCTTTTTGTACAGGCTTCAATCCATTTTTTCTGAAGTGTGCTGTTTTTTAATGAAAGTAACTATAATCTTTTCACATCCCATGGAACTGCCGTTTACACATCGCAACTTTTTAAACTTACCATATTTTTCAAAATTAACTTTTTTGAGGGAGGAAAATCCCACTTGCTACATACTAAACTGTTGTTTAGGCTCTTATAATTAGGACCTGCGATTTTATAAAAATTTAGTCTGTAGCTTTTTAGGTTCTTCACTAGAGTTGTACATAAAAATAAGGACTATAAAGTGACCCCTAAATTCTTTTAAATGTCTGGATTTTTCCACTAATACATACTTTTGAAAGCATTTTGTTTATGCATAGATTCACCATTAAATTGAAAAAGTCTTTAGCTTCTCTTGGTAAATGTGAGCCATTTGTTTTATATTGTGTTTGGGGGTGGGGCGTTTCAATAAAATTTGCCTAAATCAAGCAGTACCCTCTGAATGTTAATTTTTAAATGTCAAAATTGGGTGAGGCATATATCTGGGAAGCAAAATTGCAATATGAGTAAATTTCACTGATGTTTAAATAAGAAGACAATTCTGGGATTTGTTCTTGAATCACCATTAATACAAATGGATGGTTTATATTTTTGATCACTTAAATGGACATCAATGTCAATGAATGGGAAATTTTTCTTAAAACTTATTCATGTATTATTTTTGATCCATTTATCTGTGGCATTTGGTGCAATAAACCTTTTGAATTTATCCTGAATATTTTCCTATATTGCTTATGATTTGTCCTGTCTAATTAAACTTAGAGCTCTCCTTTCCACAATGATTCACATCAGACAAGTTCATTATATGTGTCAGTGACTTTTTACAGAGGTGTCTGGAAATATAGGTGCATTTTTGTTTAATATAATGATGGGTGGGGGCTGAGGATGACAGGAGAAATACCTTGTAACTTGAGGGCCACCCACGGAATAAGGAATTGTCTTCTGCTCATATCTCACTAGACATTCATGTGGATGAAAATCTCTTTATAATTATCTAAATTTTGATTCTGCTTTACAGAAAAGTACAATGTATCCTTCACTTGATTACAATAATATTCTGACTTTTCCAGGAATGCCACTGTTGTATCAATGGAGGAAAGATTTTACTTTCTTAAGAAGATTGAAAATTTTAACAAGAATTGACTTCATTTTGGAAACAACATTACCCACAACTATGGTGTTCATGGAATTTGAGTCATTAATACAGTATACCTGTCTCAGTCTTTGTAGCGAGGTATTCATGGAGATGCATATAGATGTAAGCATCTGCCTGCTGCATTATTTTCAATACTAATCTGGTATCCCAAGGTCTATGTATTAAAAGCTACTCAATATAACTTGCTTTAAAAATATTACCTCTAGGGTACTGGTGTTTTATAAATGATGTTTGTAACTACGTTGTATTTATAAATTTTATTTTAGGAAAATAAAAAGGACATCACAAAATTTTGCTATGAAAGGGAGGAAATACAAGGATATATATATAATATCAGGAAAAAATATGCTGGTAAGTGTAACTTTTGTCCCAACATACCACCACACTGAATTACACTGTTTCAAAGACTATATAGGGAGAAGACACATTAGACAGTTCAAAACAATTTTTTTAAGTAAAAGTTTCTAGTTTTCCTTGTTTCCTGAAGTAGTTTTAAAATCACACCATTGGGCCTCCCCGGTGGCGCAGCGGTTGAGCTCTGGGTTGCGAAGCTGCCTGCAGCCTCTGCAGCACCGGTTCGATCCCCGGCTGCTCCCCGGCCACCGGAGGAGGGTCCCACATGGCGCAGACCTCTCCTGCTGCCCGCTGCTCCCCTCAGCAGTGTACTTTGTCAGTCTGCCTGGTCTGTTCCCTGCTCTGGCTCTGGTGAATTCTCTCACCCTCCCGCGCTTCTGACTGTACCCAGTGCTTGTATAAATAAATAAATAAATAAATAAATAAATAAATAAATAAATCTTTAAAAAAAGCAATGTTTTAAAAAAAATAAAAATAAAAAAATAAAATCACACCATTGATAAAGTACTTAAACACACACACACACTGCTTTTTAATCCCTAATGCCTGGACAATTCTGTCAGATGCTTTATATATCAAACCTCATTTAATCCTCCTAATTGAATGAGATGGGTACCATCTATGATAACTAATTTCATGTGCCAATTTCATTAGGCCACAGCACCCAAACACCAGTCTGGATGTTGCTGTGAAGTTGTTTTTTAGATGAGATTAACCATTTAAATGAGAGACTGAGTAAAGCAGGTTACTGCCCCAAATGTGGGCATTTAGTTAAACAGGCTGCGGTCTCCCAAGGAAGAAGAAATGCTGCCTCCACGCTGGCTTTGGACTTGAGCTACAACCACTCTCTTCCCTATGTTACTAGCCTGCTGGCCTGCCCTGTAGATTCATGTGAGTCAGTTCCCTAAAATCTTTTTCTCTTCCTGCACACACACATACACACACACACACATCCTACTGTTTCTCTGGAGAACGCTGACTAATCTGGGTGCTTAAGAGATCAATCCAAAGATTATATATCTCTTTTCTTCAAAGGCTCACTTCCTGTAACTTGGTATGATATTCCAAATGCAGTTGGGTAGGGCTGAAATATCATCATACCAAGTTACAGGAAGTACTTTAGTATATATCGCTTTGTTTCAAAGAGACTCTACAGACCATAGAGATACACCATAAAGATTGAGACACAAGGCACATAATCTCTGGATATATGGTGCAAGAAGCGATAACAAGAAAAGCATAAGCTAGAAATAACCCTCTGGATAGCCAGGAAGAAGGTAACTTCACACTCAGTGGAAGAGAAAAAAAGCCTTCCCATAAAGCTCGATCCCCACAATGTGTCTTGATCCCCACAGCTGCGCATTTCCCATTGTCCTTTGGGACCTCACACCATCAGTTATCTACCCTTTCTCATCTTCAAGTCCTCAATCTAAGGAAGTTTGCTACTCAAAGTGTGAAGAAAAACTGTCTCAAGCCTGTTAAATGAACCATATTCATTTAATATGAATTCAGTATTATTCAATCATATTAAATTAATAAACTAAAACTCCCTCTTTATTTCTTCTTCCTTTGGTAACTAAGAATTTAAAAGGGTTTCTTTTGCTTTCGTTGGCTTTCACTTGCTTACTGTTCATTCACTACCCTGCCACCTAACTTCCCCATTCCAAGGTCTGCAGATCGGCAGCCTGAAATCCTTCCTCACCTCTAGTTTGCACCGAGAGCTTTGAACCTGCTTTGTGTTTTGCTTGCTTTCAGTCACTAATTTCTCAGTTGTGTCACAAAAAAATGCCCTCCCTTTCCTTTCAAACTGCTCTAATCAATTCTCTTTCACGCTCATGGCTAAATAATCTTTCCAAAATGAAAGTGATGCTGTCACTCTGGTTTATAAGTCAGCCCAGTAAAATCCAAGTTCCTTCCACCATGCACTTGAATGAAGCATATGGCCACTCTTCCCCATACCACCCCACCACAAGACACCCCTCTGCGGGTGATGACCATCTATGTATCAAGCCACATGCAGGTCCCCAAAGGCATTAGCTTATTGTTAACCTTTGCCCTGTCAGTCCCTTCTAGGTACTCTCTCCTCTTTGCTCCCTCAAGTCCCTCCCGTTACTAACTTAAAATGCAAGTCAGCATCAAAATTCTTCCAGCACCTCAATATTCACGGTCCCCAGACCAGCAACAACTGTACCACCAGAGGGCTAGAGAGAAATGCAGGACCTCAAGCTGCGTCCCAGCCCTACTGAATCAATTTGTTCCCTAATACCATCCCAAGTGGTTCAGACACATTAAAATTTGAGAACTACTCTTCCCACGTTAGTGTGACAAAATGCTGCCATTTACAGCAAAATGGAAAGGAATTAGAGGGAATTTTTGTAGTGAAGCAGGTCAGAATGACAAAGACAAATATTGGACATTTATATAGCAATTTGGTAAGGTAATATATCCTTGTAAGAACTGATTTTTTATTTTTTTATTATTTTTTTTAAAGATTTATTTATTTATACATACAAGCACTGGATACAGTCAGAAGCGCAGGAAGATGAGAGAATTCACCAGAGCCAGAGCGGGGAGCAGAGCAGGCAGAAGGACCGAAGGACACCGCTGAGGGGAGCAGCGGGCGGCAGGAGAGGTCCGCGCGCCATGTGGGACCCTCCTCAGGTGGTCGGGGAGCAGCCGGGGATCGAACCGGCACTGCAGAGGCTGCGGGCAGCTTCGCAACCCAGCGCTCAACCGCTGCGCCACCAGGGAGGCCCAAGAACTGATTTTTTAAATAAATAAAATGAGGTTTTTGATGTTGAAAGGGAGCAGGCAAAGAGAAGGGACCAAACAGGTATAAGAAATAGAGGTGGGGCGGGAGAAAAAAAGAGTAGAGGGAGGATTATAAGAGAAAAGAAGATGGAGAGAGAATGAGAGAGAAAAAGAAGAAAATGAAAGCAAAAATCATTGTGGTAACCACTGGCTAAGTGTGAGGCATCACGTTGGCAGCTTTCTACAATTTCATTTGTTCAGAAGCATTTGTATTTGCTTCTGAATTTAGAATGCTTGCCTAAGTTATTTTCCCTAAAAAGAATATATAAAAAAAAGGGGGGAGGGAACTTGAGTGTTTATTGAGGTACCCTGTGGGTGGTTCATAAAATGGGCTTGGGAAAAGAAGTTTTTTGATGTATCTCTAGAAATTTAGAAAAAAACTTAGTTGATAAAGTGAGATTATTTTGAATGCCACGGTATTTTGTTTACGCTGAAAAGGAAAGGAATGAGCAAGTGATCAATTACCCTCATTAATAATGATCTGAACATCGGTGCCTCTGATAAAATGCCCTGAGACATAGCATCACTTATCTGTGCTTCCATCCAAGAACACATTGGCTGAATGTAACATAGGAAAAGAACAGATAAACCCACACTTAGAGATATTCTACGGAACAGCCTATACTCTTCAAAATTATTAGTTATAAAAAAACCACGCCTGAAGAATGGTCCAAGTAGAGGGCCTCCCCGGTAGCGCAGCGGTTGAGCGCTGGGTTGCTGCGAAGCTGTCCGCAACCTCTACAGTGCTGGTTTGATCCCCGGCCACCGGGTGAGGGTCCCACATGGCGCGCAGACCTCTCCTGCGCCCGCTGCTCCCCTTAACAGTGTACTTTGTCAGTCTGCCTGTTCTGCTCCCCGCTCTGGCTCTGGTGAATCCTCTCACCCTCCTGCGCTTCTGACTGTACCCAGTGCTTGTATAAATAAATAAATAAATCTGGAAAAAAAAAAAAAAAGAATAGTCCAAGTTGAAAGAGAATACAGAGACATAAGGACTAAATGTAATGCATGATACTAAGTCAGGTCCTGGGACAGAGATTAAAATAAAGGATATTTATTGGGTTAGTTTGGGTAGAAATTATGGAATATATAACAATATTACTTCAATGTGAGATCCCTGGCTGAATCTTGTGGTTATACGGTGGTCATGTAAGTGAGCATTTCTGTTCTTAGGAAATAGGTGTTGAAATATTTAGCAGGAAAGGAGCACCATGCCTCTAACTTAATCCTCAGATGGTTCAGAGAAAACAATTATGGGTGTGGGTGTGCGTGGAGATACACAGGAAGAAAGCATTAATGCAAATAAAATTAACAAGTAAGAGTTCCGGGTAAAGCCTGTATCAGGAGTTAACTTTGTACTGTTCTTGCAACTCTTCTATAAGTTTGAACATTTCAAAATGTCTTTTGACAGATTTTTTAAATGCACAAAAATATCTCAATTCGATTTAGTGAATGATAGGAGGCATTTGGGATTGTTTAATTCATTATCATGCTAATCCTACACAAAATTAGCTCAGTAATCCAAGCCTCCTCCACACATACTGCAATAAATCATCTCATTTGGATGCAACCCAAAATTCAGAGCACATAGCAATGTTAGCGGCTGAACTCCCTTTTTCAATACCAAGTGTCCCTGGGGTCAGGACCTACCGAGGAGGATTTGTCTAGCTCCCTCACAGAATGTTTTAAATAGACATAATTAATTGCTGATGAATTAGAGCTCTGGCGACAGAGAATAAGCACTATTCTACAGAGCTGGCAAATTCTTCAGTGGAGTGAGGAGTCTCTCCACGTAGAGAACAGGAACCGCTCAGTGGATCCTGACCATCCTGTTGCCTTTTCGATCATGGAAATTGAAAGCTGAAATTTCACTAGTGTACTGCAGTACTGACATCTAGAAAGTGTATTTTGTGGTGGGATTACACAGAACCACCTCAGGAAATCATTGTTGATCTGAATGTATACGTACACATTCTTGTTTCTCATGATAACACCACCAAATATTCAAGAAAGAAGCTAATATCCCCAGTTCCTAATAAAAAATTATGTAACTTGCTCAAGAGTCCATAGATAATAATAGGGTAAAACCTGAATTTGAACTGGAATGTTCCTACTCTGCTAACGAGACTGAGGGTTTTATGAGGGGGTTATAGATATACAAGCCGAGAGCTTCCTCGGGTTTTAGACATCCAAGGAATCCTGTTCTCTCCAGGGTAAGCCATATGATAAATGAGCAATTCTAAAACCTCTTGCTTCTTCAGCTATAAGGTGGAAATACTTACCTACCCACTGTGTGCACATTACTATGGACATCCAATATATATTATAAAATGCTTGGAAGATTAAAAGGAGATAGAAGACTGATTATTAGTTGTTTCATTATTAAATAGCAGTCTCTAGTTCATATGTTTAGATAGATGTTGTCTATGATGAAAAGTAAGTGGCCATACCTCCTTTTTCAGTTGCTCTGGTAACTGAGGTGGTCTGGAAGCTCTTGGCAATGGCGCCTTACTCTGCCTGAGGAGGAGAGCATATTTGGAATTTCTTTGATCAATGTCCTCACAATCACCCATATGCCACGCAAGAAAAGCACGACTGAATTTTCCTTGCATATCCATAATACCAGGTTTGGGTTGCCTGAAAGAGAAACCAATTGGTTGATTTTCAAATTGGAAAGGTCTAGAAACAAGGCCATCAGTTTTCAGATTGTTGAGATTTGTTTCTGTTGTGATTCAAGGTGATTTCTAGTCGAGTATCTTGGGAAACCTAAGGACCAGAGCCATCAGCCAGGGTTCTGAGAAGTTCTGAATTTAAGCCCACTCCAATTCTCCAGATGTGCAGCTGTTGGAGATGCAGGGAACCACCTTCCCTGACCAACACTTAATCAATCAGCACTTTGTGGATGAATTCTTCCCTGTATCATCACTGTCCCTCATGCCCTGCAGAGTCAGGCACATAAGATGCTGGGATGTTGGAAGCAGCATGTTCAAGCTCGGGCCTTGTGAGAGCTTGTGAGACCCAGTTGCTGTCTTACAGGACAGGCTGCCCACTTTGAGATCTCAGGGGAATTCAGGAAAACACTAACTTTGTGATTCCAGACTCTGGCTTTGGTTGGTGTCTGAGAGGAAGGAGCTAGGCTTTGTTCTCTTTACCTGTTTCTTTTTTTTTTTTTTAAGATTTATTTATTTATGCATACAAGAGCTGGGGTACAGGCCAGAGATGCGGGGGGTGAGAGGATTCACCAGAGACAGAGCGGGGAACAGAACAGGCAGATCAACCGAAGTACACTGCTGAGGGGAGCAGCGGGCGAGTCAGGAGAGGTTTGCTGCGCCATGTAGGTAGCTCCCAGGCCGGGGCTCGAACTCATGCTGCAGAGGCTGCGGATTGCTTCATAGTGCAGTGCTTAACCCCTTGCGCCACCAGGGAGGCCCTCTTTCCCCATTTCTATGTGAACCTGGTCTGGGTTACAGACACCTCAATTAGACTGTTAGTTGAGTCCTGCCTTCCCGTTATAAAGGATCAGCTGGGGGGAGAAGACAAAAAGGGTCAGAAATGAGGATTCTTTTCTCATTTGGTGCTGTAGTTGCTCTGGAGAGACTCCTGGGGTCTTGCCCCACCATCCAGCTCTCTGGGCTGCCAGGGTCTCTTGGCCACCGCAAAATCCCTTTCCCAGAACTTGAGCTTCAAGGGTGCCCAAATTCTTAGGATGAAGACTCTGGCAGGCTGGTACACACAATTGCTCTGTGGCAGGCATAGTATAAAGCTCTGGGGAGACAGCAATAAGACCAAGTCCTTGCCTCCTAGAGCTTAAATGCACTGGGGGAAGACAGACGACAACAGATAAGAAAATCAAATACTCGGGAAGTGTCATGACAAATAAAGCCAGATAAGGAATAACAAATGCCAAGCATATGCTAGTTTTATAAGGGTGGGCTAGTGAAAGGTAACATTTGAGCACAGAGCTAAGTGAAAGGAAAGAGACAGCAATTCTCAAGACACAGGGGTCCGACACTCCCTAGAATCCCAAAATCCCTGCCTTGGGAGGGAGCTTCACTCTCCCACAAACCTTCCACTGACACTCCACCACCTTCAGAATAAAGTTCCAGGGGAGGCTGGGTGGGCCCGGGGGAGCCGTGTTGGGTTTTTTGCTTTGTTTTGTCTGTTCTCTTTATTTTTTTTTATTTTTTAATATTTTATTTTATAAGATTTATTTAATTATACATACAAGAACTGGGGTACAGGCCAGAGTTGTGGGGGGTGAGAGGATTCACCAGAGACACAGTGGGGAACAGAACAGGCAAACTGATGAAATACACTGCTGAGGGGAGCAGCGGGCATGGCAGGAGAGGTCTGCTGCGCCATATGGGTCAGCTCCCTGGCTGGGGATTGAACCCGTGCTGCAGTGGCTGCAGATAGCTTCATAGGTTGCATCTTAACCCCTTGCGCCACCTGGGAGGCCCTGTTCTCTTTTTAAAAATTGTCCACGTGGCCCTTTCTGGTGTTTTCCCTCAGCCCTTCCCTCTCTCAGATGCACAAGGACCCTCTTTGTGCCCCGAACCTCCTTCACGGGACACTGAAGAAGCCAAGCTTGTAGACCTTCAGGTTCTGCTTCTCTTTGTAATTCTCTTCCTCCCTCATTCCTGACAAAGTGCACTCAAGGCTGAACATCACCTTTTTGTGAAGACTTCCCTTATGCCTGTCGGCAATTTTTCTCTTTCGATGGCACCCTGTATTCGACTTCTTTTATAGGAACTGTTACATCTACTCAGATGTGTCTCGTTCACCAACGACTTCCCAGTGCCCTGCCCGACGCAGCTGGCACTCAAGTACTGAGGCGAGAGGGTGTGAGGGAGGGAGATGATCTCAGGTGTGGTGTCCTTTCCGCCCTCCCTGGCCCCCTGTCATTTCCCTATGGTTAGTTCTGATCCTGGTATCCATAAGGCTTGTGGAAGATTAAAGAAACTTGGGGAGAAAATGCCTTTCTCCAAAGGAGGAGAGACATTGCTGTATTGTATTCCTCGCTCTGAGGTTTGGCCTTCCATTTCGACGGGAGGTTAGGGCGTCATACTCTTCTGACTACTCAGTTCAAAATGAGGGCTTTAGTTTCAAGAAAACAGATCATAGTCCCATAGTGTGCATGTGCAGCCTGTGCTGCGTGGGCGCGGGCAGATTCCTAAACCACGCCTGGGGCCCTTTGCTTCCTCCTCGCCCTCTGCCCCTTCCTTACATCGAAAGCAAGTTTGTTGCCTACAGAATTAAGCACAAAAGTACAGACTTTACAAAGCTAAGGGATGTAGCTGCTGGGATTCCAGCCTCGCCTCTGACCACACCCCCAAACTAATACCCTATATTTTGACCCCATCAGACGTTCACTCATTTCCTCAACATGTCGTAAAGGTTCTCTTTGTTTATGCAATTCTTTCTGGTTGATATTCTTTTCATGACTTCTCCATTCTTTCTGTTTGATTCTCGTGCAGCCTTGAATATATAACTCAAACGCTACTTCTCCTACCAAGCTGTCCTGGACGGCTACCCTGCCTTCAACACTGGGCCACAATCACTTCCTCCTTTGCTCCCACGGTGCCCTGTTCCCACCTGCTCCCCTTGGGAAGGAACTCTTTCTTGTTTTTGTATCTGCAGTGTCTAACAGAGCTCCTGACGTAGAACATATTTTCAGTCAATGTTGCTCGCAACTATAAGACACAGAACTGTATTTTGTAGCTGTCACCAGTGAGTGAGACTATGGATGCACATGTTAGAGAGTTAGGAGTGAAGATGGAACTGTTTCTAAATTTACATCCTTTCCTAGTTAAATTCATAAACCATGAGCCTGTATTATTTTTATTTTTAAAAAAAGATTTATTTATTTATGCATAGAAGAACTGGGGCGTAGGTCAGAGGTACAGGGGGTGAGAGGATTCACCAGAGGCAGAGTGGAGAGCAGAACTGGCAGATTTTACTGAAATCCACTGCTGAGGGGAGCAGAGGGTGAGACAGGTGAGGTCTGCTGCGCCATGTGGGTCAGCTCCCTGGCCGGGGATTGAACTCAGGCTGCAGCAGTGATAGCATGAGAGCGTTGAGACTTAATCCCTACACCACCAGGGAGGCGTAGGGATTATTTTATTATTTTTATAATAAAACATGTCTACATTTTCCTCAAATACCATTGGCTATTTGAGAAATGAACAAAATTTTCCTAGCAGCCTGGACAGCAGAAAGTGGAATATGAGGATAAAACTGACTTCCACAATAAGTTAGGAAATGACTGGCTGGATCTTGCTTATGTAACTGACTAAAATTGGTTGGACAAACGTGACTTTCATTTTGACACTTCTGCCAGAGAAAATACTCTGGACAGCAGGAGGGGCCTGTGTGGGGTGCTTCTCTGCTTGGTCTTCCCGGTTCCCAACTTTCAGTGACCTCCCAATTCTGTAACTCTAGTTTTGTTGGCGAAATAACTGGCTTGAACTAATACACCTATTTAAATTGATCAAAGAAGCTGGTTATTCTGGAGAGCGACCACCCAACTCAGGAGCAAATGTTTTTCCACTGTTTTGACATCTTCTGGGTTCCCTCTGGTAGACTAAAAATAGTTCTAGTAAGTGGTAAAATTACAGCCTTTTGGATTCCAACGTTAAACAAACAAATTGCTAACTGTTGAAGTTCCAGTAAGGCAGTCTGGTTTCCTAATATATACCCCAGGAACAATTATTCACTTGAGTTTCAAACAGAGAACTATCTGGAAACTTCCTTTGGGCCTTTAGCATTTTCCTTGCGTCCTAGTGATGAGACTGTGCATTTCTAGCTGATGAAAAGGGCTGCTGCCTCCTCTGTCTGGTGACTTAAAAGCATGACTGCCTGTTTTCTCAGCCAGAAGTTCCCTTAAATACTTGCTTTCTCTAAGGTCATTGATTTCTGCACTTTCCATTTCCAGAAGTACTCAAAAACCACGGCTGGCGCATGCAAATTTTTGAGAAACACATTTAGAAACCATTTGGCAGGATCTGTGCTTTCTGAGAGAACAGTCTTTCTCTCCCTATTACTTTCTCTTTGGAACATTTGCAGGAAAACAAGACCCCTATTTTTTTAAAGAATGTCCTGCTTTTGTGGTGTCATCTGCACCTACACTGAAAAGCTGCCAACAAAATACAGGCAGGGCTTTGGGGAATTCTTCAATCCTATCTTCCTTTTCTAGCTGGCCTTCTCTACAGGTGGAGCAGTGTGTGCTCACTCAGGCAGTCCCCTGACTTCAGGACACTCCAGCCCAAGGAAAGACCCCCCCACCCTTCCACCTCCTTGCTGCTTCCTCCTGTCCTGCAACCAGAGACCAGGTTTCCAGCACCCAGAGCCAGGGAGACGTGCTAGAAACACAGTTACCTGTCTTCTCAAGGTATATCTTGGAGCAGCAGTGTGACAAAGGAAGAAGTTAGGAAATTGGGATAGTTCAAGTCCGCGTTGGCCACATCATTATTGCAAGTCCAGTCTACTTCCTCCTTCTTTCTCTCCCAGTCCCTCTAGAATCATAAATGATGCTGCTCTAGCTTGTTTTCAAAAGACTTAATCTTAATCCTCTGAAATTACTTATTTTATCCTGCCACAGAGATGACTAAAAACATGAAATTATCTTTTTTTTTAAG